TATATATATATATATATATATATATATATCTTACTTTAATGTGCTAAATTGACATTAACCCAACATGCATTATTTAATTGATATAAAAACAAGATCCATGGAATTAAATCAATATATTACGTATAAGATATGTAATTCATGATATTTGTTCACGACCGAACTCCAACTAATAATTAAATTGTACTTTGTCCATAAATAAGCCATTTAAACCAAATTAAATTTTGGTTTGATCGGTTCAGTAATATCAAAATTTTGATTCGTTTGACTTTTTAGGTTGAGCAATTTGAAAACTAATCCATTCATGAATGAACTCCAACTATTAATTAAACTTTAGTTTGTTCATAAATAAATGATTTAAAAATTAAATTTTGATTCGATCGGTTAAATCAAAAAATTCTGACCGGCTTGATTTTTTTTAGATTTTACATTTTAGTTCTAATTAGTTTGATCAATTTGAAAAACGATCCATTCATAGCTGAACTCCAAATAATAATTAAATTTTCGTCTGCTCATAAATAAATCGTTTAAACCAAATTAAATTTTAGTTCGATCGATTCAATTTTATCGAAATTTTGATTGGTTTGATTTTTTAGATTTTAGATTTTTGATCAATTTGAAAACTAATCAATTCAAAATAAATGTGTGCTCACCCATATAAATAGTTAAATGGACCCAAGAAGATTTTATTGAAAGCATTGCTAATTATTGCCTAGAAAATAAATTTAGAAACTAAATAGTGTACTAGGTAAATTTCATCCTTTTTAATTAAAACATTATACTATCATACTTTAGTTAAAAATTGTGCATCTTATATTCCTATGATAAGAAATATTTTAGGAAAGTTTATTTTTTTCTTTCTTGATCTAAAGTACTTCGAAAATGTTCTAATCTAGTGCAAGTTAGAGGGATAAGAAATTTCTTGTGATTCTTTTGAAGTATAAAAGCGGGATAGAGGGCGGTTTTCTCTCATAAAAGAAATAATTTCATTAAAATTTTTAGTTATAAATTGTGCATCTTATATTTTTATGATAGGAAATATTTTAAGAAAGTTTATTTTTCCTTTCTTGATTTAAAGAACTTCGAAAATGTTCTAATCTAGTGCAAGTTTGAGGGATAAGAAATTTCTTGTGATTCTTTTGAACTATAAAAGCGGGATAGAGGGGGGTTTTCTCTCATAAAAGAAATAATTTCATTAAAATGTTTTAATTTTGCCTACGCATTCACTCTCGTTTCCTTCGCTCACTGAAACATATTCTAGTTTTAGTTTTCTTATAATATGATATATGATGTAGAGATTAGATGAGCCACATCTAAATTATGTCCTAATGGGGTTAATCCCTTCAAATTTTCATCTTCTCCTAATAGGATCATCCTCCTTGAGCTCATGAAAAATAGTTTCATTAAAGTGCAAGTTCATATGAAAAAAACTTAGTTTTTTTAACATTCTCTCTTTCTTATAATTTAATATATTTTATTGAAATTAGAATATCCACTTAAGCATCTTTATAGGAATGCTAACTTTAATCAAATGGTACAACACTTTGAAAATTTTCGAAGGCATGAAAGGAGGACTTACTAATGATCTTCATTTTTTTTTTCTCTTTTGCTTTTGCTAGGTTTTCTGTAAGAAATAAGTCGTGATTTATCTCAAGGTTGCTTCGATCGATTGCCTTCTCTATTTCCTTTAATCACACTCTGAAATTTCTTTTTGTGCACATATAATGAAAATCAATCATGGAGTGTGAATGTAAAAGGTAAAAGAAAGTCAATGATATTTTTAAAGATAATATAAGGAAATGTGGTTGTCTATTATTGTTTTCTGATAAATTTGTGATAATAAAAAGAGAAATTATTATCTTAACATCACATAAGCATGTAGTTACATAAAATATAAAAATAGCAAAAAGGAGAAAATATCAAATTTATATAGAAATTTTGGAATGTAGGAAAATATCAAGGTCTAGCCTAGTTGACATAATCCAACAAATAATTCAGTGTCTAAATAAACTTACAATACTATGTTCCTATCTTTAATAAGAAAAGATAAGATTGCAAAGTATATAAAACAAGATTGACCACTTTCAGTTGTAGTATAAGATATTAGAGTACAGAGAGTGATGATGGTGATCAAAAAATGGATAGCATTGATGTATGACAATCATCAAGAGGCAAGCATTAATGGTGGTGTTTTTGTTCCTTTATCTTTTTATTTTTAAAGCAGTCCCTAGTTTTTTCATTGTCGTATGCTTCTCTTTTCGAAGAAGCTTCTCTTCCGGATCATGTGAATGATCATGAGAAGAGAGAAACCAAAAAAACATGACATGCGGAAAATGCATACAAATAAGAGAAGGAATGTGGATAACTTCCATGTGGAAAAACTCGCTAGGATAGGTTATGCACATACGTACGAACAAAATCAGAACGAAATGGATTGTGCCAAATATCTGCAAAAAATGCATATGAAAGCTACCAACAACAAGAGGTTCAGGCGTTTTGTTTGTTTTGGGGTCTAGAGTGCTCCCAAGGAGATGTGTCCCACTTATTTTGCGGCCCGAAGAATGATTGTGTTGTGGAGGTAGTGACCCAAAAGGGCGGCCTATGACAGTCCAACACGGTTTCATAAGAAGAGAATGTGAGTAATTCTCACTAGGGAGATTTACACATCATGTAGGCTTGATTTGCAAGCCTTCCAGTCACATATTTGTGAATGTGTCTGATATGTGCGTGAGAACACAAATTCAAATGCGCACCACTTTAAGCATACGAGCCATAGATATACAAAGTGCCATGCAAGCCAATCATACAGAAGTGCACAAGTGTAAATGCGAACCACTTTTGACGTGGTGCTAAATGACACAAGGATGCCATAAAGCAGGTATATAGAGTAATGTGTCGATAATAGGCACAAATCTTCATCGAGAGCATATGAGTGTATATGCTCAAAGATGAATGACAAGGGTGCAAGTGATGAAT